GGGAAAGGGAAAGGGAAAGGGAAAGGGAAAGGGAAAGGGAAAGGGAAGGAAAGGAAAGGAAAGGAAAGGAAAGGAAAGGAAAGGAAAGGAAAGGAAAGGAAAGACCATCTGAAAATTATCTTGAAAACCAAGTTAAAACTGTATGGTGAAAAAGAGAGTGTTTGTTCCAGGTAAAGGACTTCAAGATAATTTACAGGCAGAATTATTTTTATTAGTAAAAGTCACAAATAGGAAAAAGGTTAATTGGCTGACTTTGAGGTGTGTGCTCTTAAAAATGCCTGTATTAATATGTTAACAAGAAAAGAAAATACCAAGCACATTTCTGTTTCCAATTCTGAATTTCCCAGCAAGAGTTGGTGAAATCAACAGGGTATTAAAATAAAACCCAGGAAAACTCAGTCAATTTTCTTCAGTTGTCTGCCTCATTTCTTTCTAATCACCTTCAATTTGATTTCCAATTAGCTGAGGACAACATGACGGTCAAAGACGGATTTTCGCTGCTCTTGAACTTGAAGCTTCCAGCGTTGCTGGGCATACTCTACCTTATTCAGCACATTGGCTCGGCTGCGGGAGCGGGCCAGCACATCGTGGGCATTTGCAAAAGGCTGGTGATCCTGAAAGCCCAGGAATGGAGATCATCAGGGATGGCATGATCAGTGTACAACACACGCACAAAAGAGCAATTATCCAGCCAGAGAGATAGGAGTGGCTGGACTTTACAAACAGACCATCTCTTGGGCCAAGCGCTCCTAGGCATTCAAGTGCCAGTAGGATGAACTCAACTACAGAAATAAGTGTTTCAAGTAGCTTGAGTGATGAGGAGGTATTTGTGAAATGTTTCCAGGAGTCATCATTTCCAAAGACATTTCCCGTAAGAAGCAAGCACCAAGACAAAGACAGTGACAGTGGTCATTTAGGTTAAAGACCAGCCTTCCCTGACAGGTAGGGGAAGAAAATCTATTTTCATGTTAATATTCACATGTTACAGATATGGGAAGTAGAGCTTTTCCTTGCTATATTCAATACTATATAGCTAATCTGGCAGAGGAAAGACTTGTCTTTTACTCTCCTGACTCCTGTTATATTAGATTGTTACTTGCCAGCTTGAGGCCACATTCACCCTTGGGAGAGGAGACAGGATCTTATCTTGACTGGTTTTAATATTTCCCTGCACCTTTAACAGATACACCAAACAGACTGGTTTCCAAAATCCTTTTCATTTCCCCCTCCCCCAGTCTGTAATGAAGACACACAACTCCAACCCCAAGTGCTACAATCACCCTCTATTACCAAGGACAGTAAGGATTTATTACTTCAGCATTTTTATTAGATAAACACCTGAATCTTTCACTGCTGAGCACTCAGGGGCCTCCATGTTAGTTGCTGCCTTAAGAAAGAGGCTATTGAGGGGTTACCCAGGTACCTGTGTAGAAAACCAACCTATCCTAGTCAAAGTAAACCAATGCCACTGATGTTTGTAGTCATGACACAGGAAACCACCATGCTAATCTATCTATGAATGAGATATAAACACAGCTGCCTAAATGACAAAAAGGATTCAGTACTAATTTATTGCTTTTGTTTGCCCTTTCCTTGATCTCTTTTTCCTGAACCTTGTGTTAGCAAAGCTTCTAAATGTTCCAACATAGGATCCAAGTCACAAGTTGTACCTCTTACATTAAATCTTGCCTCAAAGAAAGAAATATTGTTTTGCTGTGCATGTTTACAAAAGTTCTATTATACATCCAAGACAGGAGTCAGCATGTCTATGGAAAGCGATACACAACCACATAACTATATATACAACTTTAACTATGTGGAGTTACAACACCTGGTCTTCTTTTTACAGTAAGGCACTTATGCAATGTCTACATTTCAAAGACATCAAAAAGTTTTCTATAAGGAATCTTTCCCTGCCTTCTTTACCGAAATTTCCTCAAATTTTCGCTTAATTTAGGTAACAACTTGTTACAAGAGAGGCAAACAGCAAGACCCATTTTTTTTATTTTTAATCTTACAAATGAAAGTAATAAAAACAATTCCATGAAGTTCAAAATGTTTCAAAGATTTAAGAAAAAAAAAAAGTCAGGAACGAGGAAGGCTAAAGTTGTTGGATTACTTGGTTTCCCATAAGGAAATAAACTGATCCGAGGTCATCTAACAAATGAACACATGACTTAGCTCAACTCACCTTGACTTGGTGTCATATCATCTCAACACACTGATTTTGTTCAAGTGGATTAAAATGACTCTTTGGGAATACAATGCTTCAGTGAACTTGTATATAAAATAGTATTACCATTAGTTTATTTTGACATAAACAAGCCTGGGAAGAAGGATGTACTTTCTCAGCAGAGCAGCTCTCAATTTCATAGTCCTGTTATCTACCCTTCAAGGTAGGGGGAGCAAAACTTCCTTAAGGAACAAATTTAAAGGACTAAACAAACCAGTTAATCCTTTTGTCCATTTTCCACCTATCAGAACAAGAATGAACTAGCTGCTCGTGGCCATGGATGCTAGAAGAATGCAAATAGAGATTTACCCTTTTTATATGTTTGTTCTTTTTACACCTGATAAAATTACAATAAACACAAAACATGTTTTAATATAATGCTTTGATAATAGTAATGATGTGTCATGGATATATGATACGATAAATATTGTGACTACTTGCAGTGAGCTTCTTAACTATTTGTACTAACTCTCACTTGATTTAAAATGCTCTACAATGAACAAAAATGAAACAAGATGAAAGGATGTAACTGAGAATTAAACAGAAACATTTTTAAAAGCAGATAAATAGTAAAGAATTCTCATGTTAAGATAAGCAACAATTGTAGAAATTTAAATTTAACCTTTTTTGTACAGAGTAGTTACCATAAATTCACAGCTAGAGGTTAGAAAACCTCTCTCTGCCCAGAATTAATTCAATAGATATCCAAGAGTCAGCCAGGACTCTCAGAGATGTTTTCAGTTAATATATGCACAGAATCAATCACTGGTGAACAAAATGGTTATCAAGCACATGACCCCACCAATCAAATGCCTTTCCTACATGTTTTCATCTACATATTTGTGCATCCATTTCTTTTATGTTCTATGTGCATTACATTAATAGTTTATTTCTAAAATCAGGAACCAAATATTTAATACCGTAAAGGATATAGTTTAAGTTAGACTTTCTATCTATCCATGTGCCTATTAAGAAATAGTTTATGTGAGGGCGCCTGGGTGGCTCAGTCGTTAAGCGTCTGCCTTCGGCTCAGGTCATGATCCCAGGGTCCTGGGATCGAGCCCCGCATTGGGCTCCCTGCTCAGCGGGAAGCCTGCTTCTCCCTCTCCCACTCCCCCTGCCTGTGTTCCTGCTCTCGCTGTGTCTCTCTGTCAAATAAGTAAATAAAAGCTTAAAAAAAAAAAAAGAAATAGTTTCTGTGGCCTTTGATACAAAACATGTTCATATGTTAGTTCTCAACTGGGGGTGATTTTGTCCCCCAGGGACATCTGGCAATATCTGTGAACACTTCTGATTATCACGAATAGGATGAGAGGTGCTACCGGCATCTAGTGGGTAGAGGTCAGGGATACTGCTAAATATCTTACAATGAACAGGAAATCCCCCGCAACAAAGAATTACCCAACCTAGGGGCGCCTGGGTGGCTCAGTGGGTTAAGCGTCTGCCTGCAGCTCAGGTCCTGATCCCAGGGTCCTGGGATGGAGCCCCACATCGGGCTCCCTGCCCAGCAGGGAGTCCACTTGTCCCTCTCCCTCTCCCCTGCTCATGCTTTCTCTCACTCTCTCTCTGATAAATAAATAAGATCTTAAAAAAAAAAAAAAAGAATTATCCAACCTAAAATGTCAGTGCTGTTGAGGCGGAGAAAAATCTGTCATATGTGAATGAAAAGTGACACAGGAACAGTACTGGAGATTCTAATGCTTCTAGTACACAACCTCCTGTCCTTCCAGCTCTCTTTCCTCATCAGCCCCATATATATGCCTGGTTTTTGACCACATCAGATCTCTAGTCTTGACCTTTCTCCCAGCCTATCAATAATCCCCTCCTGATAGTTTTCAAAAATGAATAGGCATTTCTTATATGATTAAAAATAAAAGGTGGAAACATACCATAATTAGTCATTTCTTTTACATGTCTGTTTCTGTTTTATTCATCTCTCTATTCCTAGTACCTAGCAGAGGACCTGATACAGAAAAGTTATTATGTGTTGGTTGAGCTAATAAGGAAGGAAAAAAGAGGCAAACAGGTGTTTCTATGAAAGTTCTTGACAAAACATAAATGAAATCTTGCCCAAATAAGTTGAGTATTCATAATTGATATTCATATGATAACAATGTATTGATCAAAAAGCAGGCTCTGTTTGTAGTAATAACTCCAGCCATCCAGTCAGGATTCCCTCTTCCCATCTTTTATCAACAGGTCCACAAGCCATTCCAGGGTAAAAGGACTTCTGACTATAGTTAGCAAGGGTTCACCCTGGCTTTAGCTTTTGGAATTGGTTCTTGAAACTCTATTGAATTTTGTCTATTTTAAGGAATGTAGGCCAATAAAGTAATCCAAAATAAAAAGTAATTTCTATGGGGCGCCTGGGTGGCTCAGTTGTTAAGCATCTGCCTTCGGCTCAAGTCATGATCCCAGTGTCCTGCTATCGAGCCCCGCATCGGGCTCCCTGCTCGGCGGGAAGCTTGCTTCTCCCTCTCCCTCTCCCACTCCCTCTGCTTGTGTTCCCTCTCCCTGTGTCTCTCTCTGTCAAAAAATAAATAAAATCTTAAAAAAAAAGTAATTTCTAAAAATAATTATGTAGAGAATACTAAAATAGTAGAAAATTTGAAAATAGGCCCGAACAGGTTAATGACAAAACAATATAATTCTAAGCTATACTGAATAACAAGTTTGTGGACTATGTCAATTACCAGACATCTTTTTTTTTAATTACCAGACATTTTTTAAAGAAGTAATGTTAATACAAAAAGGAGACCACAAAACAATTTATACACTGATTATACCAACTATATGTATAAAAAGAAATGTGTTTTTAAGTCAGGAAGAGAAGTGGGAATGGTGGTTTTGTTTTTCTCTAAAGATCAGAGATTTTTTAAGAAGGAGGAGAAAAGAAATATAAAACATCAGCAGGTTATCAAGCTGCACTTCCTTAAGAAAAGAACACTGTCTTCATGCTTCCCTTTACTAAAGCCTCTTTGCCTTCTATATATTTGGTCATGTTGACAGGAATGGTATTCAGGCAGGAGCTTGGGGAGAAGTCTATCTCAGAAGCTTTTCTCAGTGTAAACAGGGAAAGGTAATGAACATTGTGTCCTTGATACTAAAGGGCAAAGCCTTGTACAGCATAGTCACCAATGATCATCAATTTAGACCACCATATTGATGGCTATCCAGAGCAATTTCTTCATGAAGAGACATATACTAAATTAAAACAGTCCTTAGCTTCTCTAGTTGAGGATCTGCTCCAGCACATGAACATCTATCTGCAACTATTTTTCACTTGCTCTTTATATCAGGTGATGACAGAGACTGGCCATACACCAGCTGGGGCATGCCAAGTACTTACCCCAACATCGTCATCGCTCTGTATCAATTGTGAGTGTCCAAACAGGCGTCGCTTCAGTATGGGCTCAACCAGAGTAAGGTAAACCATGTATAGAAGTAGAAGGCCCAAAATGGAGAGATAAATTATAATGGTAACCTAAAGGAAGTTGAAAGTAAGTTACATCTCTATTCAAGCCAAGAAATCAGAATTTTGTGTAATAATAGTGAAGCCACGGTGAAGACTGATTTTTCTGCTAAGCATATAGGATTACTATACAAACCAGATTCCAACATAAACAAACTCAACTCTTCACCAAAATCTTGTTTAAAGAAAAAGAGGGGTGCCTGGGTGGCTCAGTCGGTTAAGCCTCTGCCTTCAGCTCAGGTCATGATCCCAGGGTCCTGGGACAGAGCCCCACATCGGGCTCCCCGCTTCACGGGAAGCCTGCTTCTCCCTCTCCCACTCCCCCTGCTTGTGTTCCCCCTCTCACTGTGTCTCTCTCTGTCAAATAAATAAATAAAATCTTTAAAAAAAATAAAAAAAAAAACAAAGAAAGAAAGAAAAAGAGAAAAGAAAGCATTTTGTCTTTGGGATCTTATTATGAGTCTTTAAAACTCCAACTTTACCTACTGCAAATCATTTGTCACCACTGCTCACACACCAGTTTTCTTTTTTTACCTGAATATAGTGTCCTAGATTCAGCAGCACGTGCTTAGACAATTTAAAGGAACCCTAACAAAAAATTTAATTCAGATGAATTTCAACAGAATACTCTTTTAGATTAATTTAGATATACAAAAATACATTTCAGGCCAGTGATTTTCCTGAGATCTTAATCTGTATGCTGTCAAAAAGTACAGTGTGACACCCTTCTCCCACCACCTCTAGGATGGCTATAATTAGTACCAAATGATAGCAAGGGTGTGGCAAAACTGAACCCTCACACAACATTGGTGGGAATGTAAAATGGGACAACCATTTTGGAAAACAATCAGGCAGTCTCTTAAAAAGTTAAAATAAACTTACCTCTCTAAGGAATCTACCTGACAGGAAAACATATATCCACACAAAGACATGTGCCTAGATATTTATGACAGCATTATTCATAATAGTAAAAATCTGGAAATAACCCAAATGTCTATCAACCAATGAATGGATAATGAAAATATGTTATATTCATATAATAAAATGATATTCAGTAATAGAAAAGAATTAAATACTGATAACTTGTTACAACATGGATAAACCTCAAAGACATTATGCTAACCGAAAGGAACCAGTCACAGAAGACCACATGTTGTATGATTCTATTTATATGAAATATTCAGATCTGTAGAGACACAAAGCAGAATAGTGATTATCTAAGGCTAGGGGAGGGAATGAGATTAACTGTAAATGGGCATGAGGGATCTTTTTGGGGTGATGGGAATGTTTTTAACACTAAATTTTTAAAAATTGTTTTAAATTTCCTAAAATTTATTCACTTGTACACTTACAATGAGTGGCTTTTAGGGTCTGAAATTACACATCAAAAACTTAGCTGAAAAATAAAAAAGTACAGTGAGGCTTTTTCTACAGGACAGCACCCTGGTGGAGTAGGAACTCTCTCACAGAAATCTTTGTAACTGTTACACTGTTACAGCTGACCACCCCAGATTCTCCATGAGGGCTTTTCTTGGGGGAGGGGGAATGAATGGGAAGCTTCATATAAAAAAATTGGGGAGAAGAACTGTTTAGCCACCATAATTAAGTAATTAAACTCATTAGAGGTCCAAATGGTGATGAGTGATCTACATTCTACTTCCTATAAAAAAATAAAGGAAATCTTAGAATCCAGAAGCGATACTTCTAGGAGAGTCTCTCTCTCTATTTTTTTCCCTAAGGGTTGAGAGGGCAGGAAGAAAAGGGCCTAGTCATGCTGTGCTCTCACTAGCTTCTGACATACGTGGCCCACAGAAACGCTGGGATATATTTCAGGATATGTTAATTTCACACAGGGCATTTTTGTGCCATTTCACATATCACACCAAGTAACATGTCCTAAGTAATCCACAAAGCATCTCAATGAAGCAGGCAGAGAACAGACCCACTGTTCCTATGGGGCTGGTACTGGGGATGAGAAAGGAAGGGGTTAGTGGATGATGGGGAGGGGAGGAAGAACAGCGGTTGAATGAATGAAATAGAATTCAGATGTCCAAAATTTTCTTTCTTGTCTAGATACCATCAAAAACTACTCCAGAAGCAGAAGAGATGAATTTCTTTCTTTCTTTTTTTTTTTTTTTTACCTTGATCGTAACAGAGCTTCTTTCCTCGTATTTGCATTCACAGCGTAGACAGTATGCTTCTACATCAGGCCCACGCACAGGCATGGGATCCACAACATGAAGGCAATCACTGAAAAAACAAGGATAAAATATTGCTTCAGCCTACCTGGATTTTCTACTTATACTGATCAAAACTTTCCTGAGATCCAGAATAATCACTGAACTTAAGAATTCAAGGAACAAATAATAAGGGAAATGAAATCATTTGCTCTCTCAGTATTAGCAATTGGGTGAGATTTAACAATCTAAGAACCATAAAGACACATATGCAGTGGCTATTTTCAAAACTGCTGCTAACAGTTAAAAAATGCACCTGAAAAGTCTCAGATGGGATCAAAAACTACTTAGCACATCCAGTTATAGTTAGACTTGTTCATTTACCAAGAAAAAATTGCTTTAAATGATTTAAAGTATCTTGGGGCATTGTTCAAATGTGAGATTATCTCTTTTATGAATTAACATCAATCTTAACTGCCACAGAGTGGTGTATGAACGGCTAATCACACTGAACAGTTGCTAAATTCTGAAACTCTGGAAACTGGGCACTCAAAGGTGCAGTAAGAAACAATTACTTTTCAAAAAAAAAGAAACAACTACCTTTCTAAATGAGTAAAAGTCTATTGAAAACATGAAGAAATAGGATTATGACAAGAGAAATATTTAAAAATGAAAACTGATTACCCAGAAGTATATAAAAAATAATAAAAGTCTAAATGTTTTTGTTGTTGGATGTTATTTTTTCCCCATTTTCTAGGCCATTTATTTATGGCTTATGAAAAAAGCAATTCCATCAAAAAAATCTTGTCCCAGAAATCTGTCAATTCTAGGAAATAATTAAATTATGACTCTCCCCAACTATTAAGAGCCTACTACTCTGTTCACCTTCAGCAAAAGTAGGCAAAACTCTCCTGTCCTGTCAACTGCTGGGCAATTTTCTTTTGTCATCTCTTCCTCAGGCACTTCTGGCTGTCTGAAGAACTGATAGCATCCTATCTCATTCCACCCATCTTTCTTGGGGGCACCCAATGCTCTAGGCTACATCTTTCCCTCTGCCCGGCAAAATCTACTTTTTGTGTTCCATTCCTTCTGAGCCATGGCATAGGAGAGAAAACCCAAAATGGCATAAATGATAAAAATTCAATCAGTTATCCCTAACAGGTAATTTAATTTTAACGACGATACTAACAAAAAAATAAGCCTCAACTGGTGGTATGGTAAGGTCCCACAACTCACACCATACAAGTTTGTGTTATCTGTTGCAAACATATAAGAAAACCAGTAATGTATCCAACTGGATGCAGGCATAAAATGGGCAGAGGAAACTAAATCCCATTCAATCACAGAGGTCATCCAGGCCAATATACTTTCAGAGAGGTCACCCATACAATGTCACAGAGTAGATTAGAAGCTAAAAGGACCAGAACCCAGGGTTCCTACTGCCTAGGCTGGCTCCCCTGTAGCTCTCTAAACCTCAGGAAAATAAAACTTATCTCCTTGTTTCCCAATTCAGCTTCAGAAGCCTTCATAACAATACCTAGGAATTACTTGGGGAGCTAAGTGTTGAGTATTGAGTGTTTCTCTTTAAGTACAGATACAGTTTAATAACAAGGAGATATTGAGTGCTGCGCAAAATTTGTGCGGGGTGGGAGAAGAAGGTTGGTCTGGCCCGCTAGTCAAAAACACAGAACCTAGATACAGAACTCAACCACTCCGGGAACTAGGCAACACCTCCCCCTAGTGCCAAAATAAGGATATTATCAGCTAACATCACACCTCAAACACAAACCAGAGAACTCAAACTTTCCTACTGTCAGACAGCGTTAAGTCAATAAAGAATTAAAGCTAACAATGGAACAAAATGGAAGCCAGAAAGTAAAACTATATCTAGGACCAAACAGATATTAGGGGCTTTGTAAAGTCATAACATCCTAATTAATCATAACCTGCTTATCCTTCTAAAACCAGTTAACAGCTGAGAATCTATCTCCAGTAAAAGGCTGAGATGCAGGAAGGAAGCAAGGGAGAGGGGGAAGAAAAATCGCAAACAAGCCTTGTTTTCAACTATTTCTTTTCAAAGCTCCCTATTTTGACCAAAAACCAGAGTGAATAGCATATGATTCTGTCTGAACCTGGAATTATAAAAAGTCAGTGAAAAGATTAGTGCTAAACACTTGAACAGTGAGTTCACCTGCCACTCAAATAATAGGCATCACATTCTATTACTGATAATAAATGAAACTAATTTTAAGCGCTTAGTGTATTTGGAAAATGTATAGGAATAACTTAAAAACTTATTTGAGCTTTCTTGTATCATAAAGGTAACTTGATGATATAAAATCTATAATATGGCTAAATCACTTTGTAGTATGAGACAATTTAAAGTGGAGCACAGAAGTTCAGAAGAAGTTGGGGCACCTGGGTGGCTCAGTCGTTAAGCGTCTGCCTTCAGCTCAGGACATGATCCCAGGGTCCTGGGATTAAGCCCCACATCAGGCTCCCTGCTCTGCAGGGAGTCTGCTTCTCCCTCTCCCTGCTTCTGATCTCTCTCTCTCTGCCTCTCAAATAAATAAATAAAATCTTAAAAAAAAGAAGTTCAGAAGAAGTTTTCAAGAATACACTTATCAAATATCAGATTGAATCTAAATGAATACCACGGGAAGAACAGACAATGGCATCAGAAAAAAGAAACATGCTCAAAAAAGAAAAAAGAAAAGAAAAAAGAAACATGCTCAAAGGCTGCCTTTTCTTTTTCAAAGTCAACTTGAAATATTGTAACCAAATGAATTTAATTTTGCTTTCAAAGTTTTGCTGGCTATTTAGCTGTGAAATCAGGTACATGTGAAAGTTCCTAGCATTTGGAGCTATTCTTCTTATATGCCTATCCCAGCAATATTCTACCATGTTTACAAACCATAAAATACCACAATTCATGAGAAGGAGCCCATCATCCTGCTACAAAACAACTGCTTCCCAATCTTTTAAGCTATATGTAGAAAAGCTATCATTTGTAAGATCCATAACTAGAGAAGACTGCTGGTGACTAGTGAGTCAAGATCCCAGTCATCACAGGCCTGCCTGATACCCCAAGGACTGAGGGAGCCACTTCTTGATGTACCTATATCCACGGCACACCAACAGGGAAAACTAGGAGATACGTGGCTCATTCCCATTTCCTTCCGGAGCCTTTTGACACTTTTAAACATAGTCTCCTGTATTTGGCAATATATCATCAAAACCTACAAGTTGTGGAAATTATAACCCAGATAAATGAGGTTTGCTTACCTTCCAGGGAAAAGCAAAAGAGACAAAATTTAAGAGGGCACAGGAAGGTAGCTATGGGCAGTGTAGGTGCCACAAACTCAGCTCTGTCCTGTATAAAACCCTCCCTACTTGGGGCTTAGTATTTTGGCTATATTCGTTTACATTTATATCACGCACTCAGGGCCTTACTCTCACTTTTTCAAATAGAAGTGGAATTTGACACACTTAAAAAGAAATACAGGTGACCCTTGAACAACGGGCTGAACTGCATGGGTCCACTTGTATGCAAATTTTTTTCAATAGATACAGTACAGTACTGCAGATGTATTTTCTCTTTCCTATGATTGTCTTGATAACATTTTCTTTTCTCTAGTTTACTTTATTCTAAGAATACAGTATATAATACATTTAACATATAAAAGTGTGTGTGAATCAATTGTTTTATTGGTAAGGCTTCTGGTCAACAGTAGGCTATTAGCAGTTAAGTTCTGGAGGAGTCAAAAGTTATATGCAGACTTTTGACTGTGCCAGGGTCAGCACACCTAAGCCCTACATTGTTCAAGAGTCAACTGTATTTAAAAAGGAAACAATACATTGGATGAACATTCTGGGCTAACAGTGACAACCACAAAAAGAAATCTGACAGGTAATTCAGTAATCTAAAATACTTACCAATCTTTTTGGGATATGTTCTTATTATAAATATGCCCAGAATTATCTTTATACGGAGGACAGATACATTTACATCGGACATCCTCGAAATTCTGTAACCAAAATGGAAACTTAGTATAGCTTGTTAACAGTTTAGCATCAATATTTTTAAAAAACTGCACCATATACATTTTGCTAAGCATCCCCTGCCAAATATTCTAAAACTTTTCGTTTTGAGAGATAAAAAGTTTTTAAAGGTCACAGTTTCTTTTTGGTAACGCTAATGAATCATTATATATTACATAAAATTATTTTGAAATAATACCTGTAGGTGATCTGTGATTTCTCAATCACCTTTATAGGTCACATGACAGTCCAACTGTGCTAATGTTATCACCATCTACCTGCCAGTAAAAAGACACAGTAGACAGATAACTGTGCCTGCAAACAAGAATCCAATTACAAAAGGATGGGGAAGAATCAAACTAAAAATTACTCACAAATCAAGTCACAATTCTACTAAACACCATCCTTCGGCCCTTTGGTAGAATGGCACTAATATGGATAAAGGGGTTCAGACCAGAGCTCTACAGAAGGGGTGAAAATTTTAGAGACACCAGCTATATTTAGAAAGGAAGTATGCAAGGCAAGTAGCTGGAGTCTAGCTGAGATCAGTTTGGTCTACGCTTCCCCAGAAACTTTGCTTCTAATCCCTGGTAGACAAAGAGGATAACTACTGATAAAGCAAGTTTCACGGGGTGGAGAAAGAGGTGACTAAATGTATGAGTACGGGGAATAGGAGAAGCTTCATCAGCAAAGGGGAATTTATCTGAGAAGGCAAGTGGCTCATTAGTCCCCAGAGGACAAGGCCCACTGCTCCTATATATGGTGCTATGCCTGGCAGAGCTGTTGACAATGCATTCATTCGGCAACCACTCAGTGAGCATTTGCTCAGTGTTGGAACTTGTGCTCAATGAAGTGGATTCAGATAAGTGTAAGACATGGTTCCTGCCAGTAATGAGGACACACCCTAGTAATGGAGACTGACAGATAAATACATCATTACAATACACTCTTAAAGTGATGACAGGAGATATGCAGAGGATGCCAGCAATGTTTTGAAAGACAGGAACCTCGCTGTTGTCCCTATTTCTGGTGGGAGGTAGGAAAGATTTCAAAAAGAACTCCCAATCAAAACCCCCTGATCTGTCTGCATTTAATCTGTCTTTCCCAGCCCCTGTATTTAAAGAGTATCTTTAAATATCTATATTTATCTATAATCTAGATACTCTAGATTAAAGCTATTTTTAAAAGATGCAATTTCACTCTGTTTTCCCATCATATTAATGTGAATTCCTTCTGTTTTCCCCAATAAGGAACTAGCTCATCAAGGAGAAAGCACAAGTGCGTACGGGGGCAGAGCAGGTGTGGAGGGTAGGAGCATGGAGGGGACTAAAGAGTAGCATGAGGAGCCTAGAAGGACCAAGAAGTGGAGCAGGGGAGAATGCTACAACTTTACCTCCCTTGTAGTTTGGACCCTTCCTTCCTCACTAAAATATCAGGAAGAAAGGCGGCAAAAAAAGGGGCCAAGAGACCCTGGAGGGAGTTAGGTCAGGATATTAGGCTGGTGAGACTCTGTGCAGGTCCCAGTGGGAAGGCAGGCTGCCAGGAGAGGCAAGGCAACTAGTTCAGGGATGAGTTGAAATGAGTTAGGTCCTAACCGGGAAGATTTCCGTGGGCCGGAGGCTTCTCGTAATTTTGGTTTAGGGAATGGGGGCGGGGCAGGAAGAAGGCTGGCTGTGAGGCAGGTGGAGGGCGGCGGTAGACTTAAGGAGCTTAAGGGTGGAAAGTTAAAGGCTCTCAGAGTTGGAAAGGTTGTAAAGTCTGAGGTGGGTGCTGTCGGGGCTGGGAAGGGAAATGTCTAGGAGGTGGAGGAGTTGCTGTCCAGGCTGTGGGCACTGTGATGGGTGGAGCTGGGGACGGGGGCGGGGTATCAGGAGGGAAAGGGGGAGTAGTGTCAGGGCTACGGGTGGCAGTGGGGGCAGTGACTGTCAGACTGTCAGGGCTGGACGGCGAGAGTGCTGTCAGGTAGTAGGGTGTTGGGTGGGGGTGCTGCAAGAGCTATGAAGCTAGGGGTCCGGCCGGCAGGGCTGGAAGACGAATGGGGTGGGGAGCAGGTTGGCCGACTCAGTTTCCGCAAGGCCGGAGCAGGGGAGGAGCTCCTGTCTGGAGCGAAGGCTGGGCGGACTCACCTTGGCGGCGTCTGACAGCTGCACCAGCAGCAGCACTGAGAGCGCCAGGAAGGACAGGCTGAGCAAGGAGCCAAGCCGAAGGAAGCCTCCCCACAGGGTCGCCATCGCTGCCAGGCCCAGCGGTTCCCACAGCCCGGAGCCCCCGAGACCTGCTCCCGGCTGGGGCTCAGGCTCGGGATCCGGCTCCGGCTCCGGCTCCGGCTCGGGCTCCTCCGCCCGCACTTCCGTCTGGGTCTTGGCGTCACCGGCCGCGCCGGGTCAGCTACAAAAAGCATCCGCCCCGGAAACGGTTCCCGGTGCGCAGGGCCGGGAGGTTGCGCTGTGCCGGCGCCTGCCCGGCGGACACTCCGGCGGGGAAAGCGGAGGGGGCGCCTCTGGTCGAGCAGCTTGGGCCCAGCAAAGCTTTGAGGCACGAGGCTGTCTTTCTTGGGCGCAGAAGCAGCGGGGGCTGTGGACCGCCAGTGCCCTGGGAAGTCCTCTCGCCCAGAGAGACCCCCAGCAAACCTGGGATCTCAGACAGGAGCCTCCAGCGACCCCTGCGAGGCCGGAGCCGTTAGTTGCCAGACCCCTGAGGCTGGAGGGAGCCCAAGCCCCAGGGATCGCTTTGAGAGGGCGGCACATCCTACAGGCGCAGGAACTGGGCCACAGCGGCGCGGCTGGGCTGGGGCGGGCCAGGCCAGGCTCCGGAAGGTGTGGAGTTGGCCAAAGAACCGCCCTAGTAGCCTCCTCCGCCCAGGACTCCAGAATGTGGGGAATTGCGGCGCTACAATCCTATTCAGGGAGGCTGGCTTCTGAGTCAGAGTTGGGGGAGCGCTGACCGGTCTTCCTGGTGCGGGTCATCCTCTGCAGGTAATTTAGGAAAACCCTGGAGATGGCACAGTGTCTCCAATTAAAATATTTTTCAGTGAGTGAAGATAGTGTGGAGCGGGGTAGTGGAAAGGGTACAGAGCTCATCATCACCCCTACAGATTTGCTGGATGACCTTGGGCAAAACACCTTTTATGGGCCTCTGGTTCTTGGTTCACTTTGAGGAGATTGAACTCTTATCTGTGGATTTCAAATTCTCCCATGGAATACCCATGTTTCTTTCTTTTCCTAGTTTGCAGAAGTGTTTTAATTAGATTTTAATATTTTTCTCCCGTGTGACTTTTTCCTTTACCTTTTTTAAAAATTTTTTAGTTTATGTAGGCTCCGTATCCAGCATAGGGCTGGAACTCAGGATCCTGAGATCTAGAGTCGCCTGCTCTACGAGTGAGCCAGTCTGGTGCCCCTCCCACGTGATTATTGTTGATGCCAGAATCTAACACAGGGTGTCTGATATTGTGCCAAATATATTTAGCCCCTTTCAATCCCAAGTGGCAAGTGGTGCCTAGTCCCAACCAGAACCAGAGGGGTAGGACGGATGCCCTTTCATCAAAGGCCCTCCAGGCTGCCCTGTGAAGGTACTGTCACATTAGTGAGATAACACGTCTTTGTTGTGGATGTTCTGCTGGCCAGAGAACAACCTGGAGACCCTTGGAGTTAAATGTGTCTGTGAGGCACTGTGGATCTGTGACTGCTAAAAGCAAGTTTGGGATCAATTTAGGGTTAATTGTCCAGGTCTGACATTTAAAGGGAGTGCTCGCTCTGGCTAAAACCTCGTAGGCCTTTTCTTCTTCAGAATTGTTCTCAGGGCCTTGACTGGGAGTACAGAGGCTTAAAGTAAATATATAGTAATGCCTCTGTCTGATGGGCCTTATCTGTTTAATGGAGAATTACCAAGTATACTCATGGAAGCAGAATTTTAGAGTTACACTGTCCAATACAGTAGCCACTAGCCACATGTGGTAATTGAGCACTTGAAATGTGGCTAGTCAGAATTGAGAAAGTGTAAAATATACACTGGATTTCAAAGACTTAGTACAAAAAAATACCTCTAAAATATCTCAATATTTTTATTTTAAGGATGAAATATTTCAGATACATTGGATTAAATAAAATATATTAAAATAATTTCATTTGTTTGTTTTTACTTCTTAAATGTGGCTAATAGAGAATGTAGTATTTATGTTAGGCATCGCTGTCCTAGAATATAGAATATGGCTACCATGAGGGGAGTGTGACTGTAAGATGGTTGCCTGGCTGGAGACTGAATGAAGACTCAGGCTTGGGTAAGGAGAAAGGCGTCTAAGCCTGCTGCACAGCCAGAACCAAGGGTTCGGGGGAGGTATATGTCCACCAAAAAAATGAAAGTAATTTTAGGTGATACAACAGAAATAAAAGAGGTTTTAAAAAGGGGGGGGGAGTAAAGAGGTTAGTTCCTCTTGTTCTGCCCTGCTCACACCTAAATAACACTTTCCCCTTAGGTCAGGGGTCTTCCAAGCTAGAAAGACTTACCTGACTTAAATGCACTCCCTCCTGTATTTGTGCAAATATTTCATAACTTAACCCTACTATAGTAAAATTATGTTTTCATATCTGCCTCTATATTCCCAGCCTCCACTCAAATATGGTGAGCTTTTTGAGGGCAGGGGCCTTGCCTATTATCTTTGTGCCTGGAAACTGGGATATTGGATTTGGGGTTTTTTTTGTGTGTGTTTTTTTTAAGATTTTAGTTATTTGACAGAGAGAGACACAGCGAGAGAGGGAACACAAGCAGGGGGAGTGGGAGAGGGAGAAGCAGGCTTCTTGCTGAGCAGGGAGCCGGATGCGGGGCTCGATCCCAGGACCCTGGGACAACGACCTGAGCCAAAGGCAGATGCTTAATGACTGAGCCACCCAGGCGCCCCAAAACTGGGATGTTGTAAAAAACAGTATTTGTGGGGACCCAGAGAAGGGAAAAGGTGAATGGGAGGGGCTCATAGGGTCTTGTCAAAGAACCAGTCCTTACATGGTTCCTTTCTGACCATGAGAAAGTGATGCTGAGCCCAAAGAACTATGGATGGGATCTGAGGCACCATAGTAGGCAGGAGAGGAGAGATTTCTGACCTAGGGTCTTCTTGACCTATAGGCCACATCAGTGTTCTTTTCACAGGTGAAGTGGACTTAGCACCCATCTTTTCCCTTAGTACCCACTCTTCCCCTCCCTTTTCCTTGCTTCCCTGTGACTTAAGTTTTCCTACTTCATTCTTTTTTAAGGAGTGACACAGGTCCAGGGGCACCTTCCCACCTGGACTGGGCCCTCTCACTTCTTTGTGAGGCCTGAAAAATTCCCTGGTGGGGGATTTAAGTGTGGAAGTCAGAAGGTTAGGAAGCAGAAGGGACAACAGTTCCATGTATGTGGGACCATGGTTTTGGCAGCTCTGTCTGCAGCCCCCTCATCCCCTTTCCCCTCCAGTGATCAAACAGCTTTTTGGATGTCCCCTTCTTATTTTTCCACCCTACCTGATCTACTCAACACTTTCCCAGGCCATGCCAGTCCAGAACAAATGGAGGCATGCACAGCATCAGTGATGATGGTTTCCTTAGATTGTGCCTCTAGTGGTTATGGGAGGGGACACACACACACACACACACACACACACACCAGTTTCTTTCAGCTATTTCTGAACACACACACACACACACACACACACACACACACACACACACACACACACACACACACACACACCACACCACACAGTTTCTTTCAGCTATTTCTGAACATACCCAGGAACATCTTATATGAGCCTTCTCCTTTACCATGTGCCTGGCCAGGATGCTTCCTCCTACCTGACCTCCTTTAGTGAGATTTTCTGTCCTCCACTTCCTGTAAAGCCATGTACATGTGCCATGCCACATCACTTGCTGGTCCCCACCTTGATAACAATGTATAGGGCCAGAATATTGTCTGTTCCTAGAGATGCTGGTGCCCCTATTGCTGATAAGTTATTGGAATCCCTAAAATAACAAAGCAACACAAGGTTTGGTACCAAAGCAGGGAGAATTTTAAAAGTTTCCTTCAGAGTAGTGCTAAATCAGTATTGTTGGTTTCCCAGTGTCCTAAGGGAACACTTAAGGAAAACAGTCCCTCCTCTCTAATCATTAAGATTTTCAAATACATGAAACATATTATTTGTATTTATTTTTACTAATATAGTATATTTTAATTTTTCTTATCTTTTAGCTATCTCTTCTGGGATATATCTCCATATTAATGACATGCTTATAACTAGTTCTTGATTTTTCAGTTTGGTCTATTATTTTACTTCTTCCTATAGGAAAGAGACTATGCATATATACTCTAATGCCCTCTCATAAACACATATATTATTTCTCTATCCTTCAATGTATCTATATCACCTTAAGTAAATAACCTCATTATATTATTATGTCTGTATATATTATTCATAGTTGGTTCCACAAGCATAATATTACCATATTGGTTTTTTGACTGAAATTAGCCATTGCCTCTTTTTCCATGCTTTCTTAAGTGGCTAGCACTCAACTATCTATAATTAATTTATCCAAAAGTCTCCTCTCCGTACATTCAAACACATCAGGTAGCCTATTAGTTTCTGTTTTTAAACTGAAGACAACCCTCCAGGAGTCTGTCATTGTCCTTCATGCTGGGCTAGCTGTCCTCTAAGCCTGCTGCAGTTTTTGTCCTAGGAAAATTGATCATTTATTCTCTTTTCTACTTTTTTCCTGAAAGATTTCCATATTCCAAATCTTCTGAATTTTTACATTTTAATTATCCTGTCTTCCATTTCCTAGAGTATTTTCTTATCCACCCTTACCCCCACCCTTTAAATAGCATTCTGTTCCATCTGGGGATGCAATATCTTATTTCTCTGTGAATATTTCTAATGTTGTATTTCTTGAATTGTCTGCATTGAGTTTTTCAGTCTTTGTTTGTCTTTTGTGTTAGAAACTTTTCTTAAATATCTGGAGATCCTTGGCTATCCACTCATATGTAAGAGTGTGGCCTAAGAAGGAGAGCCGATTGGAAGCTCTGTTTACATAACAGGACTTGTAACTAGGACACCCTGCAGTGTATTTCAAAATTCTAGTTGCAAATCCATTAGTGGTCTGTGAAATAAACGTAGTCAATTGCAACCAACCTTCCTCCCACCCACCCCAAATGACAGAATAGAATAGAAAATATTATATCAGAATATATCACATATAAAAAGAAAATTATTTTGTGAAACTTTGGTTTTATATATGTATACATCATATATACACATTAAGTACTGAGGCAATCCCATAAAATGGGGATTTCTTATTGTGGGTGTTTTTTCAAAGAAGTTTGTAAAATTACCACTTGGTATGCTCAAGGAGATC